TCTCGTCTATGGAAGTGCGACGACGTCTGAGAAGTGGGACTCTTTTCTAGGGGTGTTTACACACCATTTGAATGCCGTCGCGCATGCCCGGCGCGTTAAACTGCGCTGTCAATCCGCCCCACCTGTCTCAGCTGATACGCGTATGTTGATGGTTCGTCGCCGCGTCGCTCTAGCGTGTTGTTCGCGTGCTGAGTACAAGGCACTCAATAAGCAGACACGGGCAGCTATTAGACGGGACTGTCGCGATCATATTAGGAAGCAGATTTCTGAGGCAGGTCACTCCGGCATGTGGCGGTGCGTTAAATCGGTTATTGGCAGTAAACTGGGTACGTCAGCCACACCTAACATTCATCCTGATACTTTGAATTGCTACTTTGTGAAGGTAGGGCCTACGACTGTCGCCAGCGTGCCGAACCGAGGCACGGCTTTGCCAGTCAGGCTCCCCCGAGTTATGACCTGCTCATTTAAGGTGCATCCTGTGTCATGCGATGAGCTGCTTGCAGCTATGTCTACGATGAACCCGACGACATCCTGTGGACTAGATGAACTTAGTACGGAGCTCTTACAGAAGTCTTTTCGTGGTGTCGGCTGTCCTCTACTTGACGTCATTAATAGCAGTCTCATTGAGGGAACGGTGCCCAGCGCCTGGAAACACGCTCTTGTCACAGCGCCCCCGAAAACCAGTGATTTGAACGCTCCTACCAAATTTAGGCCAATCTCTGTAGTGCCAGCGATAGCAAAAATAGTCGAGCGTATTGTTCATCATCAGCTTAGCTCATAATTTAACGAGCGTGATTTATTTTCGCATACACAACACGGATATCTTACGAATTTTTCAACAGAGACCGCACTTACTGTAGTGACTGACAAAATACTCACCGCGATGGATGCTGGGGAGATCGCTCTGCTTGTTTTGATAGATCTGTCAAAATGTTTTGACGTTGTGGATCACCAGCTTCCCTTATCCAAGCTTACGATATACAATATTGACACAAAATGGTGTAAAAGCTAACTTTGCGGGCATACCCAACAGGTTCAGATCAGATGTTCTTCAGGGCGTACTGCACGCTCTCGCGGTCTTCCGAATGGGATGGGGGTATTTCAGGGTACCGACCTCGGGCCGCTCCTATATTCCATTTTCTCGAACGATCTAGCGTTATATTCGGAAGGTGCCACAGTGATACAATGTGCCGACGACACACAGATTTTGGTTAGATTTTGGAAAGAAAAGTACAATGCAACATCTTGTCGGGACCATGGAGAGTACCTTGTCAGTTGTATTGGACTGGTTTAACAACCACTCTATGAAAGTCAATACAACACAAACGCAAGTTAATAGTTTTCGGGACAAAGGCTATGCTGCGTAATATGCCTCCTGTGCATGTCAAGTTCGGGTCAGCTGTCATTACTGAAAGCAATGCTGTCAAAAACCTTGGTGTGGTGATGGACAGAAATCTCACATTTGAACCGCACATTGATCAGCTTGTTGCCAGGTCGACGGGCGCTCTGATGGCCCTGTCCCATGTCAAGCATGTACTCCCAAGAGACACCCTCGTTCGCATTGTCGGAGCTCTAGTTCTTTCCTCCATTAGATACTGTATAGCACTGTATGGTACTCACGGAGCCACCCAGCTCCATCGTGTGCAAAAACTTGTGAACTTCTGTGCGCGGGTTGTGAGCGGAAGGAGAAGGTTTGACCATATATCGGATGTTGTCAGGGATCTACGATGGCTTAGTGCTGATCAGCTCGTCAGATATCATATGTTGTGCCTGCTCAAGAAAGTCTTACTCACGGGTCAGCCACCAGATATAGCCGCGATGTTCACACGTGCTGAGCACACTCATGAAACGCGACAGGCTAACCAGCTGAGGCGCCCCTGAGCGGTGAGCAACTCTGGCACTCGCCGATTTAGCTGCAGAGCATCGGATTTGTTTAACTACCTGCCGCCCGATTTGCGCAATGTTCAGAGTCTAGGCCGCTTCAAGCGCCAACTTATGGGGTTGCTTCTGAGTGAGGCGAATGTTGGCACATGATTGTGTGTGATGCTACGATGTGAATGCAGTAGTGTGATTCACCGAGATGATCCCTCGACCGATGTGTGATGTGTTAGGCTATTGTTATTAGGTTTCACATAGTCTCTTTTATGCCGTTTTTATCAATGATGACGTGTAACTTCTAAAAAGCCACTGGATCTTGTGGAAAGTTACGAAATATATGGACATGGACATGGGTGGGAATCAAACTCCATTACGTTGTGAAGAAAGTGGGTCGAATAGGCAAGAAATCTGTTTGGTGTAGTTGAAGCTAGGGCTTCCCTGCTCAGCCCCGTTGCCTATTTTGCGAAACTACACCTCTGCGGTCGCGGCTTAACAACCCTGACACGGGACGGATTCGCAACCAGATTACTCCAGCGTCAGCTGTAGGATTCAGGGCCCATTTCCCAAGCAGGGACATCAAGGCCGGTGTCCACAGTTTACATCGGCCGGGGCCCCTGAGACAGTGAAAGGCCCCTGTATGGATTTGGAGACCACAGTGCATAACAAGGGTCATGTGTGGCAAGAAGTATAGGATCGGCCCGGGGCAGTGTTCGAGGGGGCCTGCAGAAGGGCCTTCGATCAAGCGTCTGGTTGGAAGGTACGAGGGGCTCGCTGTAGGTCACATTAAGGACCCCGTCTGCAGGACCGGGCCTGATACGTCAGTCAGAGAGCCCCTTGCATCTTTTGGTGACACCCAAGGGCGATGAGGGCCTTTATTCTGTTCAGAGCCAACAACAAGCAGCCGGCTCTGTGTCGGTCCGAGCCCTGGCAGCCCATTGCCCAAGCAAGGACAAGGCTGAGAGCCGCGATTTGCGTTGGTCGGGACCCCTGAAGCGGTGAGGCCGTGTCGGTCGGGGGCCCACAGTACCTGACAGGGGGTTCTGTGTCAGTAAGGGGCTCCGAGTCGGCCAGGGTAACATTTGCTGAACAGGACAGAGACTGGACCCAGAGTGCTAGAGGGCCATCTGCGTTGGTCGGAACCTCTGGCAATGAACGTGGATATGATCATTTACGATGTGGGTCCACAATGATACAAAAGAAGGTCAGGTCCATGTTTCAATCAGCCAGGGGTTACCTTACAGCTCGCCACCCCCATCCCAGCCAGATGCCCATTATGCTGAACTGGAGTCTCCGTGCCGATTTTGAGACGCTGCGTCGGTAAAGGATATGGTTTGCGTTAGTGAGAACCCCTGCGTCGATCTGGGCCAAGATTTCTAGGTCAGGGTGTCTCTGGCGTCAGGCAGGCGACCAATGTACATGCAGTTTCGCCAGAAAACCAGAATACAGCCCCTGTTTCACCGGAAGGCAGTCGGTGAGCACCCCGGGCTAGGACGGGACGACCCTTGAGCCCCTGACCGGGAAACCTAATGTGCCCCCAGTGTCCTACCCACTAGGCCCCTTGCTAGGAAAAAGGTAAGAGGTTTGCTCAGTTTATGCTTATGATGGATGGTCAGAAACCGGAAGACACGTGGACTGTGTTCGAGAAGTTTTTCGTACCTGACCTCTTATGGCAACTTCCGAGGCTCTGCTCCTCCCCCCCCCGCCCCAATCATCTTGAGAAATCGACACTCATGACCTATACATGTATGCAATGCATTTTACTGGACATGAAAATCCTGATTCAAATATGGAAAAAGTGTATTAGTTTTCAGATGAATCGGCTGGGTATTACAAAACCAGGTCCAATTATTTGAACATTTGCTTCAGGACTTTGGCGTGAAGTGCGAGTGCATTACGTTGCTATATCCAGTGTGAACAAGTCTTGTGCCGGCATCGGTGGACCTTGAAGAAGCTTACTACCACTGCCAGTCTGTCGCACCTCCATTCCGATCATATTTTCTCTGCTGAGAAGTTATACCAGTTCTTGCAGGGCAAGGCTATTTTGCAGACAGTGTGTTCCGTCATACCAAAAGGAGAAATCCGTCGGGTAGAGCATGAGCTTAGCATCAGACTGGTTGTGGTCAAGACTGTCGAAGAGACATTTAAAGTTCACGGATTAACCCAGTGATTGTGCAGGCTGTCATTGTCCGTAAATAAGCGTCAGGCGTTAAGAGGGAAGTAGCGGTCGCTTGATTTCAAGAATTTTGATGAGTTAGAGTGAAGTAGACCGAGTCACAGGTGCAATGAGTCGACTTACACGTGCATGTGAGTCATCGTTTTGTTACGCTTAATACTGTTTAACAACGCGCTATTTTCCGCCGCCTGAGCGGACAGACGCACATGAGATACTGAGCCGGCGGCCGCCAGCAGGTGACGCGAATGAAGCGTAGTCCCTTATAGTGGCATTATTTCCAAACCTTTCCAAGCCGCTAACCACCTTGGAAATTTTAGGATGACGAAATTCAAGCTACGCTCTTTCACATGCAGATGAGAACAGTTTCAAAATCGCGCAGGAAAATGGTGATGCATACATTACCAATGTTTTAAATGTCAAATGAGTGCTTTTTGTGAAATGATAGTTCAGACTACGACGCACAATTAATCTGGAAGTTTTTTGAGTCACTTTGGCATATAGGGTTGCACGGTTTTCTTTCATCGCGGCCAACAAATCTTCGCCGAACGCCCTTTAACCACACACCACGAAAATGCCGGAGGCGTTAACTACGAGACCGCTCAATTGAGCGGCCTGAGATTGTCACAGGTGTCTCCAGCGTCGCTGACCATCCTTATCACCACTATTCACGCAACCTGAAAGATGAGCGCGCAAAATTGGCTATTTGACCTGTCGATTTGTCGTGGAATACTCCGGGAGCCGTGAGCTGAAATCAATTCTTTCCATGCAACGCCATATGATGTCAATGACAAACGTTTAAAAAATGGAGGTCATGCCCTTTTCCCTGCCACCACACCTATGCCCTGATTTCAGTCATCCGAAAATAATGATGCCACATGTAAACTGCACCGAACGGAACCGGTCGATCCGCCCATGGTAGTTCCTCCCCTTAAGCTTACTTGGACCCGCCCGAGCTAGTAGCGTCGAGCAGCCGACGCCATTTTCTGTCGGCCTGGCGTACGTTTGGCGATATTTCTCGTCAAATATCAGCTTGGAGTGTTCTTTTGGCTACAAGTTTTGAATGCCGACACCTGTGCATGAGCTTCCGGCAACATTCCAGATACGACTGATCGTCGACGCAAGTGAATGGTGCGTTAAAGTCGAATTGGTAAGTGTTTTCTGGGAGTTTTGGTCTTTGTCGACGAGCTCGCTTATGACTGCCTTGATGCACGCCATTTTGGCCCTTTTCGACGAGCAATAAGGCCGACTTTACTCCGTTACATTAGGGATTGGTAGGCAATGTGTTTGTGTTGCATCTGCTTGATGTATTGTGCCACGTGGGGATAGATACGTTATTTTGCCTCGGTGACCTCATTAGGCGGCGGTATGATGTTGATTTATCACGCCACTGCCGAATCCTGAACTGAGTGCGCCCGCCTGTGGCTTGACAGGAACTTTCCGCGATCATATGGTAGTGAAGCTGCCGCCGTGATGGTTTGTCATCGAGCTTGCTTTGTAACTATCCAAGGGAATTCAAACTGGAGATGGGCAATGTTTTGCAAAAGCATACAATGCTAATAACACAAGCTTTGATCAAGCCATGATTTGATGCATGAACCATGCCTTGCTTTGTGTTCAAGTAACTGGGTAAATGGTAAATCATCTAACCTCCAGATGTGTGCAATAAAAACATCAAGATAAGGTGTTCATGCTTGCAGGGCTGACTCATCAGTTTTGGTCATAATATATTGCTCTCAAAAGCTCTCATGTTGTGTAGAATTGATGGAAGACACCTTTTTTCATGAAGTTTGTAGGGGGCCTTGTAGATGGTGGCAGCATACCTCTGCTGTATGTCCTATATTGCTACCCAAGCCCTGCATATTCTGCTTGCAGGAAAAGCAGACATAGCTTAGTATATTTAAGTCTACATCCAGGGTCATACTGGGGAAAACATCCTTGATCTGACAACCATTTGCAACCAGAGCACCTGGGACCAAATTCTATGCAGATATTATGTTTCAGCCCTGTAGAATGTAAGCCACTTGGATTTCAGTGTTCCTAAACTGCCAGGTCAACACTGCCCTCTTTTTAGTACCAAGGAGACAATGGAGGAGACCACGGCCAGAGAGAAGGAGGTGCTGCGGTCACTCCTGTCCATGGAAAGGGGTGACATGTCATTGAATGATGTTGGACGGACTCAGCCCCAGCAACAACAGCAGCAGCAGCAGCAGCAACAACAACAACAAATCCACCATCATTTTGCTCAGGCAGTGGTAAGTGTTACTGGAATTGTTAGTAAAGATAATTGCATCATGTATGATTCTTTACCAGTCAGGAACACTGAGAAGTTAAAATGTGAACCGGCAGATGTCCACTCCATATTTGACATGTATGATCACTGCATGCAGGAGGAGCCACACAACTTGTCCACATCACAACAGCAGCAGCAGCAGGCCAGCCAGCAGCAGCAGCAGCAACAGCAGCAACAACAGCAGCAAGCCAACCATCAGCAGCAGCAGCAGCTGACATCCATGCAAGCTGTGGAGGCAGGAGAGATGCAGCACCACCACCACCATCATCATCAGCAGCAGCAACATCATCACCACCATCACCCAGGTCACCACCCAGCAGAACACCAGCAGCATGCCATACAGCCACAACAGGGCATTTACAAATGTAAGTTGATAGAATGCCACTGGCATCTGAAGAGGAACTGCCATGATTAGGGCCAGGCTGTACTTGGCATGGTTCACTAATGGGACACACATATTTTCCTTCAGGTGACAGGGCTGCCATGTTGTGGCACATCTATAGACCGGACAGTACTGCCACCATCCAAAGGAGAAAGCTGTGTTCACATCCCACAGTGTGCTGGAGGTGACTGTTGGCCTGTTTAGGGCAGGACATTGTCATGTCATGAGATCAATTGGAGCACAGGCACTGTCTGTTGGGGCAGTGCAGGAGATGCAGCAGAGCTCACCACAGCACACTCCCAAGAAAGGCATCTTTTACCAACTTTTTGCTATATAGTTAATTATGGCTAGAATAATTATTTGTGTTGTGCTCATCTGAATCCTACTATCTACAGACAGTTTTGGCAAGTCAGTTCTCTGGCTGTCTTCAGGTATTGCTGAGTTTTAAAAAGGACTGAACAGTATTTGATTTCTAACATTTTCAGCCATCCTCTTTCACCATGTTAATTGTTAGGGATTTATGATGGTATTGTTCTGGGCCTTGTGTTCCACCATTGAGACAGGAAATGGTGGTGTGTTGACATTCAAGCTTCCTGCTGTTCACCTCATGGAGGATTTTTGTTCTGAATTGGGGTCATATCAGACACACAGCTGGAGTGATGTTTAGCGTATCGTCCTCGTCTGGTATTACTATATCCACAACATTTCGGTCGGTGAATGCTCCGGCTGCCGTCAGGGGCACGTCCTTTGGCAGACAAAAGCCCAGTCAATAACCTTAGTGAGCCCATTAGACATATAACGTAGCCACCTGACTTACCGGAGGTGCCAACACCGAAGCCCCTGCTGCTTACTTGACTGGGGGGGGGGGGGGGGGAGTAAGTGCATTACATCTTGGTTTGTGTGCCAAGCAACGGATAACGCGTGCTGACGGTATGGGGGCTGGTAGATGGTGTGATCGATGTTTTCGCACACATTGCTTGCCAGGAACTATGTTATCAAATACGATCAGAATACGTCGTTGCTGCAAATTTGCAATCATCATGCCATCATTAGATCATATTGAGTTGAGGTTAGCAAGTTCAGGGGTCAAAAACATCATCTTCGACCATGCCATCCATATGCGGTCGAGAGATGCCATTCGCCCGACATAGGCGATGAGCAACACATTTTGGCCGCTGCTAGACGCTGTCGATTGTCATGTCGACAACCGCGACCTACTGTACTCCCATCGGCTTAAGGCCAAGTTTAACATCGGCTTTTGCAGCGATGTCACGGGCAAGACAGGTGGCCGCGTCGTAGGTCGAATGGACGTACCTGAAGTAGTGCATGGGCCTCCAGTTGTCAGTGAAGGGCGGTCCCGTGAGCCGAGCTGAGGCCCCAGCTAACCTGCCCTGATGGCACCCTGGCCAAAGTCAGGGTCAGGCCGCCGGTAGCCGGGCTGCGCGTCCTGTCATGATCACCCACATACAGCGGTGTACAATGCTGCCATTGGCAACTAGAAGGCTATCATTGTCATGACTCCATGCCAGCTGAGTGAGTGCTCGCGTAAAACTATTGACTAGCGGCACCATTTTATTTGTGCAGCGGGCGCGCCCCAGCACGAGGCGACTATGCATGGTCACGTGCAGTGGATGACCCAGACGCCCACCTCTGGCCATCAGGTCATCATTCTGCACGCGCCGGCTGAACAGCAGGTATGGGTGGCGCGGGACACGCCAGGCTAGGTATCCAGACGGTCCCGTGTCACGAAGCGTGAATGAGATCCAGTGATGTTTTACCCTTCTACCAAATGCTCGTTTTAGTAAGGCTGGTGTCCTTCTACTTTTATCGTGGAATGTTTTGTACCCTATCATGCTCTCTAAATTTAGATCTAAGCGGATTTGTACCGAGGTCTGCGGTTTTTTTTCCTAGTAATCACTGTTGCCTGTGACGCTTTGGCCCAGGGAGATGAACCACCAAAACCTGCATTTCGGCTCAGGTTATCTGCAACCGCATCAGCATTATGATGTGAAGGACGCCGTTCTCTGAGGCGTGCAGTCTTGCCTGATCCGATTATTGTCGGTCACGTATTTGGACGGCGGCTCCGACGGTGTGCCATTGGTCGGCGCTCGTAGTCCGGGGGCCGGCTCGTCTTCGGCCCGTCGGCGTGCTGACTGTGCCGCGCCGGCCGGCGACGCCCCGCTGCGCCTTAACGTGGGCGCCTGGCCGCGTGTCACGTACCGCCAGACGGACGAGGACGGCGGCGGCCCTATGGCCGGTATCCTGCAGGCGGCCGAGCAGGGCCAGCTGGTGGGACAGCAGGTGTGGGAGACCCAGGTAGCGGCCGACTACACCACCGGCGTCCAGCTGTCGGACGGCACCATCATCCCGGCACATCCCGACTACCAGCAGCACGGCGCGCCGGCGCTGCACGCCACCCAGCCGCCACCGCACCCGCCGCCGCCCGGGTACGTGCTGGTCGACAGCAAGCAGGCGGCGCCGGCGCCGGCCGGTCCGCCGCCTGCCGCGCCCGCCGCCGCGCCCGTCGCCAAGGAGCGGCCCGCCAAGCCGGCCAAGAAGAAGAAACGCAAGTTGGCAGACATGCTGGCCGAGGGTATTGACCCGAGCAAGCTGGAGGAGAGCGCCGACGAGGTGCGTGCGCGCTTCGGCAAGGGCTGCGAGTGCGCCGAAGAGAACTGCTTCAAGAACCTGAACCCCGACTTCGTGTACCGGCACCGGCTCAACATCGCCGAACTCTCGAAGCACGAGCACGACATGTACCTGATGGGCGTGACCATGGCCTGCCTGGCCAACCCCGACGAGACTGCGCGCCACAAGGAGCGCAAGAGACTGCGCGCCAAGTACGTGTTCCAGGGCAAGGAGGTGTGCCTGGACGCGTTTTTGTACCTGGAGAACTGCACGCACTACCAGCTGAAGCGGATCCGCAAGCACGTGATCACGCACGGCGTAACGCCTCGCGTGCACGGCAACCACGGCAAGCGGCCGCACAACACCCTTCCGCTGGACATCTACAAGCACGCCAGCAACTTCCTCAACGAATACCTGGACAAGTTCACGCACAAGACGGACGGCAAGAAGACGACCAAGGTGCAGAGCAAGCGGCTGCCCGTGTGCCTGCCGCAGGACGTGACGCGCAAGAAGATCCACGAGGAGTACGTCGACTACTTCAGCCGCTGTGAGCGGGATGCCCAAGTGATGTCCTACTCGGCGTTCCGCTACTTCCTCAAGGAGCAGTTCCCGCACGTGCGCTTCCCGAAGCTGGACAAGGCGCCGCTGCCGGAGCCTGGCGTGAAGCAGGAGACGGCGGCGGCGGCAAGCACGCCGGCGCCGGCGCCCGTCATCATCGACCTGGAAGGGGCGCGCCAGGCAGTGACCAGCTTGCTGCCGGCCGAGGGCGGCTCGCCGGCCGCCTACTCGGTGCCCGAGCACCACCAGACCACCACCTACACTGTCACGTCGCGACCCTACACCTCGGCCAACGGCCAGATGCACTACGCGGGCGCCAACTACCACTACAGCATAGCCATGTAGGCGGGCGAGGGCCGCCCGTGCGTCGCTGCGGGCCGGCATGGGGCGCTGAGGCGGCGGGCGGCGGTGCTCGCCGGTGGTGACATCTGCGGGCGGGTAGGCGCGGCGGCCGGCCAGGGGGCGCGGTCGATCCTCTCCGCTGGAGAGGCGGTCCCGGCGGCGTCCGCGCCGTCGAACAGCAGCATGTTGCTGCGCTGTTTTCCCACCGTTCTTCTGGCCAGAGCGTACTGAACCTCCGTGCGTCCCGGTGCTACGCCGGGGCTGGGGCTGTGATCTCAAGACGGGGTTTCTGTTGTACCTTGTTACGTTTAACGAGTGGCACGCCGGGTGGCGTGGTCTCTGCACAGGACTGCCATCCTTCCTACAGTTCCCTCGTTTCATGGTTTCGTGCCATATGGTCTTCCCGATAGTCTTGCGCTCGTAATTATGTAAAGTGTTGTGATGCGAAGATCGCCAGATCTTCCACATGGCAGTGACTATGTGTTAGTTGCATCGAGCATGAATGTACTCCGCACACACTTCTGTGAATATAAGATAATCGACTGCTGTTCCGGTCGTTTTAAGCCCAGTCACGAAAGCCTGATAAGGAAAAGTATTCTGAAGCCAACTGCTATGAGTGAAGGGGAGCAGATGGCGTGGGTTTGGGGCAAGTGACGCGAGCATCCATCCGTCCCTCATCCTCCATCTTGAGTCACCTTGTATCCTCGCGACACCTCGCTTGTCCGGGGCAGGCTGCATGCGCCAGTCACGAGTGGGCCGAGTGTCCGTGGAGAGGGGGACCCCGACCGGGTACCCAGTGCACGTGCGCGGATTAAGGCTCGGCGGTTGGCCCCCTAGGCGCGTGCAAGTCTGACCCACCGTTAACCATTTTCCTTCATCCCGTAGCCCTGAAATGATCATTCCTGGTCGAAAGGGCTGTAATCCAAACAACTTTGGGGCAAATGACGGGACACCATCATCGACGCGGATATCATTCCCGTTGAAGGCGCGTCCCCCGGTGTGCTCGAATATCGTACCAGTGTTTGTCACCTTAAATGTTTGTTCAAACCCCTTGCTTCTTGAAGCTCCTGCCACTGATATTTTGATTTTTTAGTGACGGTAGGTCGGCGGCGTTTCACTGCAGTAAGATTGTTCAGGTGATCGTGAATAAACTGTTACGATACACACGCTGTTCTGCTGCATGTGTGTGAAAGGCGCGTTGTTGCCAGCTGTTCGCACGGAGGTGGCGCCTGGTGGCGGTAATACTTGCCATCGTGCTTCCATGGGTCCGGAATGGTGATGTAATGAAATAAAAGCAACCTTGAAGAACAGAGATCAGTCACAATGAACGCGCCCAGCGCTTGCAAGCAAGGCTCAGTTGAAGCAGGGCTTGACAGCCATCTCATGCTATGATCCCAGCGGTCGTCGCATAGCCGCTTGCCGTGTCCAAAGTTCGGCGCTTTGCCGCAGTGCCCAGCGGTCACAACACTGGTACTCTCTGTGGTATGCATTCAGCAAAGGACATTGACAAAACATTGACAAGACATTGACATTGCGTTGATAAGGCAAAGCGCTGAATGCCAAACGTCGTTGCCTTCAATTCACCATGAGTTTGCAGTCCTTGTGCTGATAATAACTGACATTCAGAGTATTAGGAAGAAGGGTAGAGCGCGGCAACGCGCCCTTCGAGGTAACGCGCCTCTTACCCCGTATTTTGACCGTAGTCCTTGATGTGACTTGGGATTGTCAGATGGTTGAAACTTGTGCTGTGACCAGTGTCCTTTTTGGGGATGCCTGGTTTGGATGGCGGACGAGGGGCAGAGAAGGGAAGTGTTAAGCGCTCAGTGACGTTTTTCAGTCAAACTGAGGAGTCTTCTTGCGCTTCGCCTTGAAGCTTTATCGTTCAAATGTGCTCGCGAGTAACCAAGACAGGGGCTTGGTAGCTTTGTCTTGGAAGGAAACGCAACAACTGTGGTGCATGTTTTGTCAACTTATCATCATTTGTATTTAGCCCCAGATGGGGTAATGCGCCTCATTAGCAAAAGGGCACTGCGCCCCCGGGATGTTTTGTCCCGCGAACTGATCAGGCCTGCCAGAAGAGACATTGTAACCTTACTTTATGAAGTAGCTCCGTGCCAGGCTAAGTATGGTTAGAGCATACACTTGTTAGTTTGGGTATATTCCTGAGCGTTCTAAGGTTTCACGGCAATCATAATGTCATAGCTCTCGTTTTATGCCACTGAAAATAAGTTATGTGCAACGATGGTGGTGTGCGTGCGATTTAGATTACAACAATGACCAAGTAGGATCGAAACGGTCGTTGGAAGCAAAAGGAGCCCATGTGTAGAACAGAAAGCTGTATCAGCCCACAGAACATTGGTCCGATAATTCACTTCGAAACCTTACGTGTGTCTGTACTTCATCCTTTTCATTACGAATTATTGGATTTTGGTTGGTCTAGAAAGTTTATCCGACCATGCCTCTGGCTCATAGACGTCGCCAAAGTTTTTAGGGCATGGACCAAGCTGGCCCTCGGCCACCTGCCGGCAACTTACTGCTTAATTTTCATTTCTGCTCGGATTTGAGCCCTTTGACATCGTGCACAATAAAAATGAAAGTCAAACTTGCAGCACCTTTAAAAGTTTGTTTAAAAGCTCATCACCTCCCAGAACTCGTTTCATTGTTTCACTTGTTTTGTGGTCCAAAAAATTTCGGATCTGTATCACTCTCAGCGGTCCCAATTTGGCGCTTGGGAGTGAGGACGAGTTGTTCCGCTGCCCTGTTCCCCCTTCCGAAGACAATGCTCTGGCTACCAGGAAACATGCCATGCTACATCTTCACTGATGTGCGTCACTGCTAGTAAAAGGCAATTTGTCGACGGCGCTTTTTAATCGAGAAACGCACGACGTTGGGATCACGAACTAGTTCATCTCCAGCTCCGTCAAGCGAGTGGAGCTATTCGAGATGGGCGCCAATGTTTGGCACCACCGTCGAACTGCGCGGCAAGCCCAGAACAGGATCTCAAACGCTTCAGTGCCAGCGGACAGCGGCCGCCGAATTCCGAAGCGCTCTCGGCCACGACACCTTTATGGGGTTAGCGATGACCCAGGATTTAAAACCGGATCTGGAGTGGGGCAGGGGCGGTGACAGCGTGCTGCGGAGTGCTGCAGGCGGCACGGCAGAATATGGTGCGGAGTCGGGGCTGGCCCCACGGATAGAGGGACCAGAAGCAGCGCCCAGGTCTGAAAACAGCGAGACTGTGGGCGGTCCTAGCGGTGTTTAGAATCGTTCGGAGCCTGTCCCGGTTGCCATGGGCACCAAAACGCGAGCGCACACGGCTACGGGAGAAATGCGCGGTGGCATCCTCCTTCCGTTGCAAAAAGGTCGCCGCAGAGTGAAGAGCCAAGGCATAAGGGCAGGGACAGGGGATAGTGGTAATAGTGGTGCACGAGAGCGCGACGCGGGGAAATGGTCACGAAAAGGTGACAGAGAAGCAAGATGACGTAGACGCTAGGTGCTTCGTCTATTGTGTGCTGCGCCGCCTGTCTTGTGAATCCTGGATTCAGTGCACGAAGTACTCCAAATGGGCGTATGGACCATGCACGGATACTGGCAAAGGGCAAACATTTTACGTGTGTGACCTCTGCCGGGAGTAGAGGGAAGGCTGAAGATCCACGAGCGAGCCCCTTTGTGCCCAAGTTTCTGTTTATTTTGTCTTACTATCGGGTCCAGTTTTAGTGTTCTGTGACCAATGACGACTTGCGTGACGTTTTGAACCCTGCAGAAGTAAAAAAAGAAGTTTTTCTTAAACACACTACGAGAAAAGCCAGTGTCCCAGGCCCGGATATGTGCGGTGTGGTCATTGTGTCTTGCTAAAAGAGGAATTCAGGAAGTGGAGAAAGACTTAGCTAACAAGTAAGTTAAATCCTGTTGGGACGGCAAAAACCCACCGCCACAGAACGCAAAGATTAGCCCCACTGGATGGGGTCTGACGATCCGCTACTCCGTCGAGAGGCGTGAAGGAAAAATAGCAAAATACAAATTGTATGTTATTTTTTATGCCTTAAGAGTGATTGGCCTCGATGAAATATCGCGAGCCATGCATCATGTGCGATGCTGACGGCGTCTATCGTGTTCAGGCTGTGGCGGCCGCTGAAGAAGCTGTGAGGTGACCCGATATACGACGTGACGGCGTGCTGGAGTGAAAGGCGGAAGTTGAAAGGTAGTCAGCAGAGTTCATTGCATTCTTTAGACAGTGTGGCCATCAGTGGCCGGTCGGCATCCCCCTGAATCGGTACTCTGTTTAGGCAGCGATGGTCTGCCTTTTGTCGCATGTTAACGTCGAACGTCTACTTCGATGTCGATGCCTGACCCCATGAGAAGCTGTCCTATGCGTCTGCAGGGTCTTAGCCTACGAGTGGTGAGGGGACTTTCTGGCCCCTCACCCGCGCCCTGATGCGTTTCCTAACAGCCTAAAAACGGTGAAACCGATCAATACCTAACGTTGCTTATCCCTACCATAGTCGCACAGGCATGTCGTAAAAATGTAAAATCCAGGTAAGGTCGTCTAAATCCACGGTGTTGTAATGCCGTAACAATGGCAAATGTCTCGGTTAGCTGTAGTCTGACGCAGTGAATAGCCTCGAATATCATGGTCTGAGGTTCATTGGTATGTTGAATATCAGTAATGAGCTCACCCAAATGTCTAAGTCGAACAGTTAGTTCACCTTCTCAAAGTCATGCGATGTCATTACGCCATCAGGAGAGGGTCTCTTGGTCCGGAACAGATGCTTGTTGATTCGCAGCGGGGTCTCCTAATCTAGGGCTGGGGCCTGTTTATGTAAATGGGGGACCGGCTTTCTGAGATTATAAAGGGACCTCCCGTTAGGGAATGTGGCTAAGGCATTAAAGGGGCCTGCTGTTGGGGAATGGGGCCCCCTAATATATAGCGGTTGTCTCCTTATCCAGAGCGAGTGCCTCCTTATGCCTGAAGAGCATCTCCTGCATCAGCAAAGAGGCCTTCTAAGCACAAAGTTGGGCCTGACTCGGAGCTTATCCCTAAAAAACCCTTCTGGTCCAGAAAACGGGTCTCTTGATAAAGAAAACGGTTTCCTGAGTCTGATAAAGTACCCCAGGCTCAGTTATGGGCTTCCCATATCGGAATTTCGATCACACATGTGTAGCTGCAAAGTTTTGATTTGGGCAAAAGGGGTCCCCAAATTTTGAGGAGCAAACACATACTCTTACGCCCTCTGGCTCCCTGCTGCGCCAGCCCTGCCTCCTGTCTGGCTCCCTGCTGTGCCAGCCCTCCTTTCTGATATATTGAAGCCCAATTATTGATAGCACAAGAACTCGTGAGCTCATGATGCCCAACAACCAAGAGGGTATGACCTTTTAACCTAGTATCAAGTGTGTACAGTTCCTTATTCGCCCGCTGACCGCGCGGAGCTGCTATTGCATGTTTTTCACGTTAACACAACGGTCAAACTTGGCTTAAGCATCGATAAATGCTTATGCACCTGACCCTTCTAACTTTTGGTCCGTAATATCTTAAGGTTCCTCCTTAGTATATCTGTTCTGCAACGTACAACAATGCCTATTTTGTTGGTGATCAAAACAGTTTACGGAACGAACGCGTCATCTGCCTATATAATAACTCGGCAAGATGCCAAAAATCGTCGGGAAGATTCATTAAGAAACTGCACATTAGTTTACTAAGAGTGCATTGGTCAAGGCGCTCTGCCAACAAACCCCAATCACTGGAGTCTGTGAGATCCGCTCTCAGAAGCCACACCGGCGAACTCCGTATCGCTACACTCCCGCCATTTAAAATTTTCCGTTCCGCCCTTCGCTTGTTCATAAGGCAACAACAAACTAAGCACCAGGAAACAAGCATAAGCTGCATTGTTAGGACAGAAATACTTGATGTGGGAGACCAATATTTCTTTTTTAAATTGAAGGAACACGCTTAAGTGCACATTATGTGACTTGATACGTCGTTGACTAGATCATGCAAAATATGTTATGAGTCACAACCGCGCCAGTCGTTTTTTATAACTATTTCTGCACTCAGTGCAGACCAACGGCAAATGTTGTCCAGACCAAATGTCTTATCGCCTGCTCCCGCCACGCCGCTGCGGCTGAACCGGACACCCTGCCGCCACAGGCGCGGCCCCGGTCGGCGACGCGTAATATCAGGGACGGGGCTGCTGGTCACGAGCCACGGGCATCGCTGGGACGGTGCGGAGCTGATGACACAGGGGCGGCCCCAGACGGCGACGCGTGATGTCAGGGACGAAACTGCTGGTCACGAGCCACGGGCATCGCGGGGGCGGTTCGGAGCTGATGACACAGGGGCGGCCCCGGACGGCGACGCGTAATATCAGGGACGGGGCTGCTGGTCACGAGCCACGGGCATCGCTGGGACGGTGCGGAGCTGATGACACAGGGGCGGCCCCGGACGGCGACGCGTGATGTCAGGGACGAAACTGCTGGTCACGAGCCACGGGCATCGCGGGGGCGGTTCGGAGCTGATGACACAGGGGCGGCCCCGGACGGCGACGCGTGATGTCAGGGACGAGGCTGCTGGTCACGAGCCACGGGCATCGCTGGGACGGTGCGGAGCTGATGACACAGGGGCGGCCCCGGACGGCGACGCGTGATGTCAGGGACGAGGCTGCTGGTCACGAGCCGCGGGCATCGCGGGGACGGTGCGGAGCAGATGACACTTCACCGCCTCACCCCGTCGGGGGAGCGGGTGACACATGATCTTACCCGGCCCTCGAGCTGTTACCGGGGTGGTCCGGCCCCGATACCAAGCGGTGTTACTGTAATCAGTTCAGTTGCTGGACTTATTTTACATTGGGTGATGTCTTCGTCCGCTCCGCTCCATTTGTTCTGAAAGGCGTTTAGCCAATCTTAATTTGGAAATTGCCAAAATCAAAAGCGGTTGAGGCCAATGGAAAATTTGCCTCGCGTGTTGTGGCCCTAGATCGCGAGAACATTTCTGAAATCACGGAGTGACAAGGTGAATATTACAATGATGAAATGCTTAATTCAAAAATAGTTCGTTGCACGCAATGATAATATTTGTTAGCAAGTTAAGAACATATTCTTGTCGCGTGACAGTTTAGGGCAAAATTGGTCTGACATCCCGAGCTATAAAACAAACTTGCACGCATTTCAACAAGAGCCATCTGTTTTTAGTACAGAGACAAACAGACTTTCTGGTCCAAAGTTCCGCGCAGCGGCACACGAAACACAGCGGCGCTGTGTTTCTTCTTGTATTTTGTTCCTGTATTTTGAAAGCAGTATGACATTTGCTCCTATATTAAGCAAGGTCACTTGACTTTTGGTTGCGATATCATCATTTGAGAGGGTGCGTGAAACGGTACTTCCAACCTGTCAAAAGGTGAAGTGGGTCATTACGTCATTATCTTCGTTTTCAAATCGGGGTTACTTTTTATGGGATGATAGGTCACGAAAGACACACTTGTGCGACCGGATGTAGGTCATCAGACAACACCGCATAGGTTTTGTCCTCAAGTGTGGAATGCAGGGTGTTGTTTTGGCCGTGGCACTCACCCCTCCGTCGTCGAAGGGGTGAGTAGGGCCAGAGGGGGCTAAGGGGCCAGTCGCCTCTGCCCAGGTGCAAGCCGGCCTGCCTTCCCCCTCCCTGGATATGCCCCTGCGCCGCCCCCGGCCGCGCGCGCGGGCCCCGTGCTGCGCCGGCCGGCTGGCGCGCTGGCATCGATCGTCGGTGGCGACGCGACGGTTCGGCGCGCGCCGCCGCCGCCGCCGCCGCCGCCGCCGCCCGCCGCCGGCGCAGTGTGAGCGGTGGCGGCGGCGCGGGCGGCGCGGCGGGCCGCCCCCAGTGCCGACGGCCGGCGGCGGCCGCGCCCAGGCAGCGGGCCGCCATGGACCTGGCGCCCTACGCGACGGCGAGAGGTGAGCGCTGGGCGGCGGCGGCGGCGGTGGGCTCCCACCGGGGCGGGGAGGCATGCTGCGGTCGCCTCTGGGAGGCTGCTGCGGCTTGCGGTGGCCGCGTAGCTGAGAGCAACGACGCAATGCAGAGGTTTGCACTTGTTGCACGAGTTTGTATGAGTGCAAAGCAGTGCTGCTTTGCACTCGCATAAACCCATGACTTACATCCACTGTTCAGTGGAAACAGCGCTGCGACCTGGAGATCAATGGCAGGAGTGAGTGATGGGGTCACTGCGGTAGCAAAGTGGAAGATCAATGATGACGCGTGCTGTTTTTATCAGACTGCTTGAATGGTGGCCTCCGAATCGCCCGAGCTAAGAGCTGGCGTTTTTCGACCGATCTCCGGGTCTGGAGCGGCACGTCCCTGCGGAGGTGCCGAATCTGCCGACTCAGCGGGCGGACGGTGCTGATCGGAACAGGAGTGCGTGCGGCTGGGCGGGGAAGAACACTGTTCGGTCTGTCGGGGCGAAGGGGGGGGGGGGGAGACAGATGGCTCTTCTCACGACAACCTCTCATCCCCTCCCTCCCCGCCCCCTCGCCTTCTCGCAGCCGCTCCTTCCTGCCTCGTGCTCCGGGAAGCGGGTGACGAGTGCTGTCGGTCGGCTAATCTTGACCCCGCGTTAGTAGTCATGTGCGGAGTCGGGGACTGGGCCAGACCAGCGTGACTCACTGGCGGGCAACAAGTAAGGGGTGCGTCAGTCCCTGTGCTTTTATCGCCCCGCCAATGCTGAGAATACTTCGGGGGTCGGTATCTTTTCGCCGGTTCTCAGGCTGTTCTGACAGGGATCAGCGGTGGAGGCGGTGGAGGCGGAAGAGGGGTAACGGTAAGGTGCTTTAAGGATTGGCTGGGGATGTGTAAGAACAGCGACATTGAATACATATGCATATAGCAACACATATAGTGGCATCCACTATTTCATGACGTTTTACGTCAGCTTATTGGAAAGATGGAAATGATCGATCCTGAAAATGGTCGTGTCCTTCCAATTTGTTGAGCTTTCCCATGCGCCTCATATAGGGATTTTAAACAATGAAAATACATGAACCGGCAAAAACCATGCGCCCTCCGAACTGGCGACATTGCGGAGTTCTGATCTAATCCCACGATCTGCCAGGGAGATGATACTGTGCAAGTCGACGCCACCCTAATCTTCTGCAGGTCTCTCGCGTGGTGCTCGCACTGCCCATCCGCTGATCCGCAAATCCCTCGCAGTGGTCCTCCCTCCGCCGATCCGCCGCCGCGGTTCTCCTTCCGCCGATCCACTGATCCACCGCCGTGGTCCTCACTCCGCCGTTTTACGGCCGTGGTCCTCGCTCCGCCGATCCACCGCCGTGATCCTCGCTCCGCCGATCCGTCGCCGTGGTCCCTCCTCCGCCGATCCGTCGATCTGTCGCCACGGCCTTCGCTCTGTCGATCCGCCGCCGCGGTTTTCCCTCCTCCGATCCGTCGATATGCCGCCACGGTCCTCGCTCCGCCGATCCGCCGATCTGCCGCCACGGTCCTCCTCGCTCTTCCGATCCGTCGCCGCGGTACTCGCTCCGCCGATCCGTCGATCTGCCGCCACTGTCCTCGCTCTGCCGATCCGTCGCCGCGGTACTCGCTCCGCCGATCCGCTGATCCGCGGCGGCAGTCCTCTCTGCGTCGGTCCGTCGCCGGCCATCAGAGCCGGCCGTCGTCGGCCGGTCCGGCGCCGGCGGCGCGTGGTCGTCGTATCGAGCCGGCTGCGGCCGCGCCGTAAATAACGCAAGCCCGACCTGACTGCCGCCGCCCGGCTCGGCCTGGAGAGCCACGCACAGCGCCGCGGTCAGACCCGGTCGGCGGCGGCCCGCCTCGGTCCCATGCTCCGGGCGGCCGGGCGGCCGCTGGGTCGTCGAGCCGGCTGACGGGGCGGCGGGGCCGGGGCGCACCGCCGAGCGTGAAGCCGGCGGTAGTTTTCCCCGCCGCGGTCGTGGCGCTTCCCAGCCGTCGGCGGCGCCGCGGCCGCCACGGCGTCCGCGCCGCGAAAGCGGACGTGTCCCCGATGGTCTGTGAACGCGTTTCTTTTGTCGGCGGCCCGCGCCGGGGTGCACCGCCGACGTTGCCACTTTCGACGCGAGGCCGTGACGTTGGAGAGGTGCATGTGGGTGGGAAGGTTCAGCCGTCACGTTTCTGAGGTGTATCTGAGGGGTTCAGGAGACGAAGCCCCCCGCCCCACCCTCATCCTGGCCTGGAGTTGCCTGGCTGAAGGCTGCAGTGGTCACACAAGGAACACACAATGAAAAACAAGAGCGCGAAAACCACAATGAAGATCTTAGTACCGAACTGACCCGGCATACTTGGCCGCACAAATGCCATACGGCAACACGGGCCTGTGAATCGTCGCACCATGAGATGTGCTCTTGGGTTCCGGGAACCGCCGTGTGCAATCATGGTTTTTCGAGACCCGTATCTATGGATGCGTTCGAAGGCAGTTTGATGTGACTTGAGTTTCGGGAGCTACTAAAGGCTTGGCATACCCTTCCTGCACCCAGAGCCCTCGAACTTTTGTGGGACAATTCGACCGTCTATGACCCTCTGACAGCTTTGCGGACCCCGGATTTGTTGCTGTCCCCTTGTTTACTTTCAGGTATCTGATCATCTCCCGATGGTTTCCTGTAATCTTGAGTGATTGGGGAATCGTCGTACGTGTCCTGATCGTTCAGCGTTTCCTTGGGCCAGTTGCAATGTCTGGGGATTTTCTAGAGTCACTTAATGCCCAGACAATGGATATTTTTGAGGTCCCTCATCGTTGTTCCTGAGGTTCTTATGTCCCAGAGCATTCATTCGGTCTCCATTGATCCACGCTGACTTAAAAATTCGCTAGACCTGTCGGAACCTCATGACCGTTTGGTCACGGGACATGTAGTTGGTCAATACGAAAATTAACAAAGTGTTCAGACCCACTGTTTCCACCTCAGAGGCCAGTCGCCAGCAAGGCCGCTTTTAGACCGCATTACTTCAAATTGAGATCCAAAAACAAGTAAAATGTGCCGCAGTTTGAACCCGGGAAAAGGAGTTATTCCGGTTGGAGTTCAGTACCTTAACATTGGCAAACGGGATGTCAACACTTGCGCGCCATTGTCAAATGGAAGCGTTGCAACACTGTAGATTGCGTCCAGACGGTAACAGCGGCTTAAAGAAAATTGGCCACTTTATGTCTGAATGGGCGGGATTATTTTCAATGACTAGCCCATGATGACCTCTTCGAGTCGCAAGATGTTTATCTCAAATTGGTCGTAGTGGCATTTACGTTAACGCATTCAACGTCTGATCAAGGTAACCACCTATCTGAGCATGTGCTTGCAGAAGAAGAGGACTCCATAGCTTCAAATAGCAACCTGAACATGTCCTTGGAGAACAAGAAGCGTGTGAACGGATATAGCAAAGTTGATAATGGACGTTTCGTGGCCATCTCGTACCTTACGCCTCCCAAACTTCTACGTGCCGCAGATTAGCAAAACATCGCTATGTTTCACCTCACACACCAGAGCGGTGTCGTGCGGATGTCCATTCCAGCAGTCCTCCGGATGCATGCGTGCCTTGGCTCCGCGCCCACCCCTCTCAGCCCCACATAAGTGACTCCAGCGCCGGCCGGCTGAGCGGCTGTGACCTCCAGCCGAGCCGGGCTGGCCCGGGCGCCGGGACCGGGGGGAGCGGCGGCGGCGGACGGGCGCCGCCAGTCCCCGCCGGACGGCCGCGGCGGCCGGCCAGCCATGCGCAGGCTCTGGCCGCGCTCCCTCCGCGTGCTGCGCGCCCCGGTCGCGTCCGATCACGGTAGGTGGTCGCCGCCGCCAGCAGCCGGCTGTGCTCGCCATCAGGTGCGCCGCGCGCCCCAGCCGAAATAGCGCCGCCTGCACGCGCGTGACCCAGATGTGCCACTCGGCCTGCAGCGCGGCGCCGTGTTCGGTGCGGCGGCGTGTTTAGCGCGGCGGCGGCGTGCCGGGAAGACGGATGGAGACGCCAGGTGACGGAACATGTCTCGTCAGAGGAGACGAAGTGTGAACACGTGCGAACGATCCGCCCGGCTCACGCGACGTTCCGCGCGTCACGTGCGACGAGCACGGTTTTCGTATGTCTGTGCAGGTCGGCACGTGCGGTGGCCAGGCAGGTCTTACGGTCACTGGTTCGAAGATCACGATCATGTTGCTGTGAAGCAGAGGCTTGCCGTCAATCCATGCTTTTTGTCATATTCGAGTCACGAGATTTGTCATCTGTCAGCAGTGGCGATGTTGGTAAATGTTATTACCTCACAGAACAGCAGTCAAGCAGCGGCACTACTCTCAACATATCAGTGACGTAGAACACCGCAGTAATGTATAGACTCTGATCTAAAAACCATGCAGTTATTTCCTCTTATTCTCTTGTCAGCCAATGTCATTTGCATGACTGAAACTTTATGGAAGCTCTTGGTGGTTAAGAAGTAGGCTCTGGCATAGCCAGCTAAGACTCCTAACTGGTGTTCCACCCAGCACTTGACCAAGTTAGAAGTTCAGCCACCTTAGTTCGAAGAAACTCTTCTAATGGTTCGCGAGGCCGCCTCACTGCACTCGGGTTAAAATGCGACGACGGTGTGTGCTAATACTGCTCCGACATAGTTGATGTCATGGGCAGATTTTTGCCAGCGAAACTCGTCACTCCTGCTGTCAAAAAGCCGTCATATATCCATCGGAAGCAAAATATCTGGAAATTGTTAAAACAAGGCTTCTCAATGAAATACGAACGTCCACCTGTGCAGTAAGGCTGAGGTCTGAGATTACCGGCCACACCCAGTGATGACCTAAGACACGACGCGGGAGGCGTCGTCCCAAATCTCGTCCTCAGCCGGCTAAATGGGACCATTCTCATCCTCAGCTGGCGGCGCTTTCAATCTCCGGTTGCCGGCACGCCTTTGTCTGGGCATGCCGCCCAGCGGCGGCGCCGCGGCACACGCCGTGGCCCCAGCGGCCGCGGGCGCCCGGTGAGCAGACAGACAGACAGCCGGGCGGCAGACGGGCGGCGCTCTGACCCGGGTGACCTTGTGTTGCAGACGATGTGGTCCGACCTCCGCCCGGCGCCCTGTCCAGCCGAGACGTGGCCGACCTGCTGCGGCGCCGCTACGCCATTATCACAGGTCAGTGCGGGTCAGGATAGGTCGGTCAGCGTTACAGGATATTAAACGTCATAGGTCAGTCAACGTCCTAGGTCAGTCAACGTCATTGGTCCGTCAGTGTCATAGGCCACTGCGGGACAGGATAGGACAGTCAGCATCTCACGTCAGAGCGGGTCAGGATAGGGCAGTCAGCATCTCACGTTAGAGCGGGTCAGGATAGGATAGTCAGCATTTCACGTCAGAGCGGGCCAGGGTAGGGCAGCCAGCATCTCACGTCAGAACGGGTCGGGATAGGATAGTCAGCATCTCACGTCAGAACGGGTCAGGATAGGATAGTCAGCATCTCATGTCAGAGCGGGTCAGGATAGGATAGTCAGCATCTCATGTCAGAGCGGGCCAGGATAGGGCAGTCAGCATCTCACGTCAGAACGGGTCAGGATAGGATAGTCAGCATCTCACGTCAGAGCGGGTCAGGATAGGATAGTCAGCATCTCATGTCAGAGCGGGCCAGGATAGGGCAGTCAGCATCTCACGTTAGAGCGGGTCAGGATAGGATAGTCAGCATCTCACGTCAGAACGGGTCAAGATGGGTCAGCCAGCGTCACATGTATGTACGGGTCGAGATAGATCAGCCATCATCACAGTTCAGTATAGGTCAGGATAGGTCAGCCAGTGACCCAGGTCAGTCAGCGTCATAGGCCAGTGTGGGTCAGGATAGGTCAGCCATCATCACATTTCAGTGTAGGTCAGGATAGGTCAGCCAGCGTCACATGTATGTACGGGTCGAGATAGATCAGCCATCATCACAGTTCAGTATGGGTCAGGATAGGTCGGCTAGTGTCCCAGGTCAGTCAGCGTCATAGGCCAGTGTGGGTCAGTCGCATGTATGTACGGGTCGGGATAGGTCAGTCAGCATCACAGATCAGCGTGGGCCAGGATAGGTCAACTAGCATCAAGGGCACAGGGGGTCAAAAGAGGTTAATCAGCGTCACAGAGGTCATTGCGTGTCAGGATTGGTCAGCCATCATCACATTTCAGTGTGGGTCAGGATAGGTCAGCCAGTGTCCCAGGTCAGTCAGCGTCATAGGCCAGTGTGGGTCAAGATGGGTCAGCCAGCGTTACATGTATGTGCGGGGCAGGATAGGCAAGTCAGTGTCACAGGTTATCGTGGGTCAGGATAGCACAGCCAGCATTACAGGTCACTGTGGTTCAAAAGAGGTCAGTCAGCGTCACAGAGGTCAGTGTGCGTCAGGATAGTTCAGCCACCATCACATGTCAGCGTGGGTCAGGACACGTCAGCCAACGTCGAATGTCTGTGCGGGGCAGAACACTCCCGTGGTAGTAGTTACACATCACCGCTGTATAGGTCAGCCAACGTCACATGTCTGTGCGGGGCAGAACACTTCCGTGGCAGTAGTTACACATCACCGCTGTATAGGTGAGCCAACGTGGAATGTCTGTGCGGGGCAGAACACTCCCGTGGCAGTAGTTACGCATCACCGTTGTATAGGTCAGCCAACGTCGAATGTCTGTGCGGGGCAGAACACTTCCGTGGCAGTAGTTACACATCACCGTTGTATAGGTCAGCCAACATGTCTGTGCGGGGCAGAACACTCCCGTGGCAGTAGTTACACATCACCGCTGTATAGGTCAGCCAACGTCACATGTCTGTGCGGGGCAGAACACTTCCGTGGCAGTAGTTACATATCACCGCTGTATAGGTCAGCCAACGTCACATGTCTGTGCGGGGCAGAACACTCCCGTGGCAGTAGTTACACATCACCGCTGTATAGGTCAGCCAACGTCACATGTCTGTGCGGGACAGAACAATCCCGTGGCAGTAGTTAGACATCACCGCTGTATAGGTCAGCCCACGTCGAATGTCTGTGCGGGGCAGAACACTCCCGTAGTAGTAGTTACACATCACCGCTGTATAGGTCAGCCAACGTCACATGTCTGTGCGGGGCAGAACACTCCCGTGGCAGTAGTTACACATCACCGCTGCATAGGTCAGCCGTCACCACATGCTGATGGAGGCTGGGATAGATAAACTATCATCACAGATGGTGGAGGCTTGTTGGGATTACCATTATTCCCCATCATCATCACAGGTTAGTTGAGTTTGAGACAGTTTAGCCATCGTGCAGGTGAGTAGAGATCAGAATAGTTTAACCATAACCGCATGCCAGGGAAGCTTAGGATAGGTCAGCCGTCATTGCCGGCGAGTGGAAAGTCTGTGCCGGGCGAGATGGGCCATTACAGGACAGGTCAACCATCATCTCCTTTTATTGCACGTTGAGGTGGGGATATCACCGTTACAGATCAGTGGTGGTCGGGATGGGTCAGTTTAGGGTCAGTGAATTTCGCAGTGGGGTCGCAGCAGCACTCAAGATTTGAGAGGGTTGAACCTGTACGCTCAGACGTACATGACAGCCTTTTTTCTCCGCCGAGATGTTCGGCGGCGCGTTCGGTCAAGTGCCCTGCGTTGCTGGACTGCGGAGAGTTAGGACAACTGTCATGCCTGTTGGGCCTGGGATACAAAACATGCGGGATGTTTGCCGTTCGCGGCATGTCCCCCGTGCTCCCTGCAGTGGATTGTTAGCGTTAGAAGCAAAGCACACAAGTGTCAAGTGCAAGTCGGTTTCACGAAATGTTACCGCCAACCTTTTCTGCCTATCTCAAACTGTCCCAAAACATCTCAAGTGTAAGTAATAAGAGGGGTCTCGGAATCTCGTTCCAACAAAGCGCCGCCGGGTCGCGACATTGGCTACGATCTCCTTGCAAAGTTTCGGGGCCCGAAATAGAAGATCGCCCCGCCTTGATGCCGACTGAGCTGTCTGCGGCCCGCGGCCCGCCCCATGCCACCGGCCAAATGCCGCCGGTGCCGTCCACGGTCGGCTGGTGCGCCTCTCAGGGCCGTCTAGACGCGGTCTTCACCTTGCCGCGACCCTACTCCCCGCGCGCCACGGTCCGTTTGTATGCTGATTCATTCATGAACGGCTCGCCGCGCGCTAACGTCAGCGGGGAGGGGAGGGGATGAGTTCACCGCCTTGGCGACGCCGCCGCGAGTATGCGTGCAGCAGTCCGGCCGCCCTGAACTGGCTGGAAGGCTCAGTCCGGGCCTGATGAGCGTATGATCAGCGGGACCGAGGTGCACTCACGGGGCCACTCGCTTGATTCAGGTTACGCGCGTCAGTCGTCGCTGGTGATTTTGCCAGGCATTGTGATGAGATCGATCATAGCATTAACCTCGGCCCGAGGTTATTGGTGCCTGGCGAACCATCAATCTCACCCAAAGGCCACAGAGAACGGCAGTGGCGCGCGGTGCACTGGCACTTGGCGGACCTCGATCGAGACAGTCATTCGCATTTTAGACTCGCGCCTCAGATGGATCGTTATGTGTTTGGCGACGTCTTTTCATCTATGGGCCCTCACCTCGCGCCTGCAAAACGCCGGTGATGTGCATTGTCCATGATGGAAAAAGATCGGCGTTTCCTTTTTTGTAACTAGCTGACTCGAATGTCCGCCGCTCATGGTTACGAGAAACCGACCCCGTGCGCATCAGAGCAAATAAATTTCACATCGTTGATTTTCCCTAGAAGTGTCCGGAAAATGCCTTGTCATCCCCGCTCGACTTGATGGGAAATTCAACTTTTGCTCAAACGAACCGTTGGTTTAACGCATTAGTAGCTGTCCTGCTGATGACCACATAGGTAATATGGCCGAAACGCTCTACTCTCATTCCGGATCACATTACATGGACATGCGAACCAGAATGGGTTTCATAGAACCACAAGGAATCAATGCATGGATGTTTCAGGGCGGATATACCGAACATTTCGGTGCATATGTCACTGAGATACCGGAGAGAATGTCATACAGTGCTTAATGAGCTACATAAACAGTCCGTTGTGGATTCCAGCGACATTCCAGAGTGGATTCCACACAACTTACAGGGTAAGATTCCGTGAATGGATTTCCCTCCGCCCGAACGTTTGTCGGGCGAAATGAGACCGCCGACGCGAAAGTCCGGCTTTCTGACTGAGCCATTTGGGCCGAATTGAAACAGCGTCTGTCAGAACGAATTCCTCACATGCTAATGCAATCGCGGCGCCGACGCGACGTGCGGGACAGCCCCGTCCGCGGCTGAGAAGGAAGCCATTTCAAACACAGACGTGACTCCATGCCTCCCATCGCGCGAGCCAACTCGACAGACGGCGGCGATCGGTTCTGCAATCTCCAGCGTAAAGCCCTGAGACTGAGCAGTCACAGCGTAAAGCCCTGAGACTGAGCAGTCGCTTTCGCCCGGTGCCGAGTGCTGTGGCGCATCTGTGGCGGAGCAGGGGCAACATCCAGCGTCGTTCGTGAGCTAGAGGGAAATGTAATAAGCACATTACTTGAACATGTATTTCAAACGTTAAATCTGGTTGGCGGAATACAATCACTTGCTCGCGTCAAGCGCAGTGCATCGGTCCCAGCTGACGTCATGAAGCTGACCTGCCATTCCGCAGGTCAGCCGCCAGCACAGTAAGTGCAGGGAACTGCCTGTACACCAACCGCCGGCCATTAGCGCCGGCCACTGGCTTTGTGGCCAGACGCTCATACGAACCCAGCCGAGACCGGGAGCTACCGTCAGCCGAGTCCCACCCCCACTCGCTGCCGTCACCCCCGGCGGCCCCGGCGTCACGTTCTCGCGGTCGGCCGCGCCAGCGCCGCGCCGGCGCCGCGCCGGCCGGAATTGTCTCGTTATCCGTGGCGCTAGTGCCGGCTGCCCGCCGCACGTGACACCCGCGCTGGGTCGGTCAGACACCCCCGACTTTGTGTGGGACTGACCGGGATGTGAGTCAGCGAGCGGTCCCGCGCAGCTGGAGGAAGGGTGCATCGTGGATGGGAAGTGGTTAGGGCAGCCTCTGATGTGGGCTGCGCACCAAAGAGCTCGTGTTATTCCAGAACGGAACGGGCTCACAGAGGGCCTTGATGTGTCCCTGTGCGGTACAAAGCGGTCGCGACCAACATTAAGACTGAAACGGACTGAGAGAAGTGCTGGCATGCCTGGGGTGGTGCGGTGGTGTGCCGGTGCGGTGTGGCGGTGTGACGTGATGATGTGGCGCGCTGGCGACGTTAGCGCGGGGCCGTCGCTCCCCAGATGACTGACACGGAGAGTGAAGGGCCCGCTGGACCCCGCGTTAGCGCGGGGCCATGGCTCCCCAGATGACTGACACGGAGAGTGAAGGGCCCGCTGGACCCCGCGTTAGCGCGGGGCCATGGCTCCCAGATGACTGACACGGAGAGTGAAAGGAGGCCCGCTGGACCCCGCGTTAGCGCGGGGCCGTCGCTCCCAGATGACTGACACGGAGAGTGAAGGGCCCGCTGGACCCCGCGTTAGCGCGGGGCCGTGGCTGCCCAGATGACTGACACGAGAGTGAAGGGTCCGCTGGACCCCGCGTTAGCGCGGGGCCGTGGCTCCCCAGATGACTGACACGGAGAGTGAAGGGCCCGCTGGACCCCGCGTTAGCGCGGGGCCGTCGCTCCCCAGATGACTGACGCGGAGAGTGAAGGGCCCGCTGGACCCCGCGTTAGCGCGGGGTCGTGGCTCCCCAGATGACTGACACGGAGAGTGAAGGGCCCGCTGGACCCCGCCAGCGATCCGCTCGTCCAGTACTCGCGGAGGCAGCACGTACGGCACCTCGCCAGTGCTGACCCGCGGGCGCAGTCGGACGGCGATCTACGCTCGCGGAGCGGTGGCCTGTGATCGTCCCGTGGTGACCAGTGGTGCCGGTCAGCCCCCTCGTCGGAGCCGGCGATGTGATCACGAGCGCGACAGCCGCGGCGACACACCGCACGTGACCGCCCGGAGCGGCCACCGGGACCGCCTCCGCGCCGCTCCGCCCGCCGCCGGCCCGCCACCGGCGCCGCCCATCCCTCTCCTTCCGCTCCCTCCTCACGCTAATGGAAGGACACCGGCCGGGCTGCTATTTTAAATGGATGAATGCGTGTCGGGCGCGCTAGATTGGCGCAGAGCGTCTCCGGGATCGCCGGCAGCTCACGGCTTCCGGGGTCGAAGGAATCGAAAATACAGGACGGCGCCGATCCGCCAGGTGCCCGAATTGACGTCACTGGTATGTCACTCGTTCATCACGGGATGGTGATGGCTGCAGACACGGACTGATGCGGTTGCAATTTCGGGCTGGCCTGATGTGCGCAGGACTGGTGACTGCTGGCAGCTGTAGACACGGGCTAGTTGTAAATGGTGCCGCGGGGTAATGCCGCCCGGAAGACATAGACGGGTGACAGATATGAACTATAGCTGCCAGGTGCCAACAGAGATACTCTGCACAAATGGATCACTTGCAAGCCATTAGCCCGTGTCACTCAAGGAAGCGTGATTGGCACAGGTCTGGACTTTCCGTAACGCAAACGCGCACTTCTACAACACCTCGACACACCGTCACAGACAATGTTGCCAACAGCTACGTGTCGTCACTGATACCGACTGTTTCTTCTGGAACACATGCGGTCCCTGAACCCCGAACTATCTGCAAACGTCTGCTTTAAAGTTGCTTTACACCTTTCTTTACATATGAGTTGCCTTTGAGAGGAGTGCAGGCAGCCGAGAGCCCATGTGAAGCGTGCAGTTTCATATGGACGGTGGCGAAGAATGGTCAGAGGGCGTGACAGATCACCGGGAATCGCTGAGGAGAGGCAAGACGGATGCCCAGCCCACGTCTGTTTAACAAGTCTGGCCACGCGCACCACCATCCAATATCCCGCGATGGCGGGCGGCTGTGCGCGCTGGGGGGGGGGGGGGGGGGGGCGGATCGCCGTGCATGGCAGAGCTACTTGGACTCACAGGTATTCACGGCGCAAGCGCGGCGTGAAAGGGCGCGGACGCTGCCAAGTGCGCCACGGGACTGGCGTGCTCACGGGGAAAACTGCTGCCGGACGAGACGAGCAGCGCCACCCTGCCAGTCATGCGCTCACGTTTAGCGGGGTGACCAGCGGCTCCGAGCACAAAAACTCTGAAATGGCTGAACGAAAGCCCCGTAGGTGAAAAGCTCACCCTTTTTCGTGGCGGACGCTGTTGCTTTTAACTGCATGCCGGTGATTAACAGCAACAAAAACGAGCGGGATCAGAGAGGGTTGCTACAGGTAAACACGCCCAGGTTTCTGAGCAGTCATCGCCTGGCGACTTGCGCGCCTGCGTCCCTAGAAGCCTGGTGGGCGTCTGTCTACAACTGTGCGGAGCAATAACGTGCATCGAGCGACGTCGGGCTGGAGCAGAACACAAATAGACCCCGGCTGCCGTGGCGAGTCACGAGATGAGAGGCAAGCCACTGGCGGAGCCCTGGCCAGTCGTAAACAGCTTGTACCGTACACGGCCCGGCGATGTTGGTCGCTGCAGACACGCCTGGAAAGTCTCCGGAGAAAGTGAATTCCTGTGATGTTTTGTTAACTGCATCTGTGTTGCAGCGGGTGGGCGGCCGTGGGGGGGGGGGGGGGGGGCGGAGGGGAGGTGGCGGCGGACTCAGTAGCGCGATCACGCAGTACGTGAACACGACGAGACGTGCATGAATAATGGGCCGGCCTCCTCTGATGCCGGTGGTGCGGTGGATGTGAACCGCGGTCAGCAGCCGCGGCGATGTGATAGTAAGCGATCGGATGCCCGCTTCAAACCGCACTGCGTGACGTCACGAAATGCTGATCACTCCACGCCGCAGTATGTGTGGCGCAGGTCTCGGTACGTCGCGTAGGAAGCGGCAGGCGGATGCACGTTGGGCTGTGCTCACGGGCTGTCGGTACCTCTGTGGAGGCGCGTTTCCAGCTAGGCTCATCAGCAGTGTAGCCGTACGGCCGCAGGGGCGTTCAGTAGGAAGCCGGTAGACGGAGGGCTAGCGGGAGAGGCGGCCCCAGCCACTGCGGCACCGAGCCTGACGCAGCGAGCCCGCGCCGTCAGGGGAGGCCCTTCCCTGGCCGGCGGGAGAGGCGGGTTCCCGTCGCCGCGGCACCGAGCCCAACGCGGCGAGTTCGCGTCGTCAGAGGAGACCCTTCTCTGGCCGGGCCGCGGCACCGAGCCTGACGCGGCGAGCCCGCGCCGTCATGGGAGGCCCTTCCTTGGCCGGCAGGAGAGGCGGCCTCAGCCACTGCGGCACGGAGCCTGACGCGGCGAGCCCGCGCCGTCAGGGGAGGCCCTTCCTTGGCCGGCAGGAGAGGCGGCCTCGGCCACTGCGGCACCTAGCCCAACGCGGCGAGCCCGCGCCGTCAGGGGAGGCCCTTCCCTGGCCGGCAGGAGAGGCGGCCCCCAGTCGCCGCACCAACGAGGCCGACGCGGCGGGCTCGCGCCATCAGGGGAGGCCCTTCTATGAGCGGCAGCACAGTGGCCTCTTCTGCAATGCGTACGACGCGAATTCAATAACCCGCATAAGTACAATACCACAGGAAACGTATCACAAATGTCACGTCAGATTGCTACAAGGACTTAGTGGGATGGTTGCGACGCAGTATTTGAAATTAATCCCTCAACCTACTGAGGTGAACGATGCTTCGAACAGAGCAGTTAACAACTGCTACTGTTTGAAATTTGAAGTTAACTAACTCACCTTAATGACATGTCATCTACCATGCAAAAAAAAATATTTTTGATGTTGACGGCCTCCGTAGCACCGGACCGGGCGCTGCCCCGAAGCCTCGTCGCAGCGCCGCTCCTGGAAGACACAGACCCCCCTCCCCCTGACGACCTCTGCCGTCGGCAGGCGGCCGCTGCTTGGGCTGCCCGATCCTGACGCTGCCCGACCCGGCCGTGGCGCCGGAGCCGTGCTGGGTGTCAGACGACGAGTACCGCCAGCTGGTCATCTACCTGACGTCGGTGCCCGTACTGGAAGAGGCCGACCAGGGCTTCATCCTTGTCATCGACCGCCGCCAGGACCGCTGGAGCTCGGTCAAGGCCGCCCTGCTGCATATCGCCGTGAGTGACGTCACAGTGCCCCCGCCGGCACCGCCGTGTCCCCCCCCCCCCCCCCACTGCCCCTCTCCCCGGCACTGCTGTGTACCCCTGCATTATCCTGCGACACTGCTGGTCACTCGGCACTGCTGTGTCGGTGTTCCCAGGGGTCGGGTGTGCGGCGCGTTGGTTTGGTCAGCTTTTTGTGATCAAGAATTGTGCTTCGAGGTGGCTGGATTCGCCATTGATTTATCGAATCGATCCTGACGATAAACATAATGAGCCGAAGCATCATTGGATCAGTGTTCTCTGATTGGAAAGTGACGAAGATAAAAAGCATTAGGGATCCTCATTTCTCGTTGTTACCGGGTGACACTAAATCGGATTCTGGCTGACTAAATCAAGCATCCACGCATCGCGCGGCAAGAACCTGTGATTCGTATCGTTACAGAGATCTTTCTCCCGAGTTCGCAGGGATCGGCGAGTCCAGAGCCTTCTCGGAGTCTGAAATATCGAGCCTACTGTATAAGTCTGATGTCTTTGAGGGGGAGGGTGGGTGGGCTGTAATAGGTTCGTATTCTAGACCCCCAACACCCGCGATCCCCAAACTACTCGATGTGAGCACAGACATGAGTGATGTTTGTACCAACGCGTGACTTGTGGTATCCCTCACATACTCAGGGCCTAAGCAGCCCGTCTTGCCGAGCCTGCTCCCCCCCCCCCCCCGCCGTCCGCGGTTTGGCCCACTGTCGAATCATTCACCCGTGCAACGCCGCGGCCGATTGCAGGCCTTCTTCCCGGGCCTCATCACCGCCTGCTACGTCCTGCGGCCGTCCAGCTTCCTGCAGAGGACCTGGTCCGACCTCAGCTACAAGTTCAGCCGGGACGACTTCAAGTTCAAGGTCGGTCGGTCAGCAGCGTGCCAACGGCCACGAGAGACCCCGAGCGACGCCAGAGGGTATTCCGAGGTGGGGGGGGGGGGGCGGGGGGGGGGGGGCACCGGAAAGCCTCGCGTGTCGGAGCTGACGCGGAACGTGGCTCTCGACGGCCACCGTAGGCTGACGTGGGAACATGGCTCTCGACGGCCACCGTAGGCTGACGTGGGAACATGGCTCTTGACGGCCACCGTAGGCTGACGTGAGAACATGGCTCTTGACGGCGACCGCAGGCTGACGCGAGGGTCTCGGCCCGAGAACGAGCGCTGCAGCATCGCAATCGTTGCAGCAAGAGACATCATCTGTTACGGCGATCATGTGGTTGTCGCAATAGCTGCAACAATTAGATGATTGTGACCAGACAAGTGTTGGCAGGAGCATCACGGCTTAAACTCTCCAAGAATGTTCTCAGCAAGGCCACATTGGACTTTGCAGCATGTTTAACTGATAACCGACCGCTCAGCTGTTGCAGGTCTTTAAACTGTGTTTCCTGTTATCTTTATAAAACTTAACGAGAAAAGAGAAAAAGCGCGGCAAAATACCGAACCCCTCCATCCTGCTCAGTATGCAAAGCACCGTTAAGCCGATTACGGTCCGACGCCTGCCAGCTGACGCCCGACGCGGCGACGCCCCCTGCCGGTCGGCGTCGGCAGCTGCAGCTGTGTAGCCGCCGCGCCAGCTGGGCCGCGGCCCGAGGCTGCCGACTGTTGAGCCCGCTGGGCGCGCCCCCTGCCGGCCGCCGTCGGCAGCTCCAGCTGTGCAGCCGCCGCGCCAGCTGGGCCGCGGCCCGAGGCTGCCGACTGTTTAGCCCGCTGGGAGTGGGCGATGACGGTCGGGCTCAGCTCGTGAAGTGGTGGCCGTTTGTCGCCAGCCGGGCCATAAATCAATAACGCAGCCGTGGTGAAGGCAGCGTCGGGTGTGTGCCAGTAGGCCGGCTGACCTTGCGTGCTTCTGATGCCGAGACGTGCCGTCGCATACCTGAGCTGTGCAGCGTCTGGCCGGAGTCGTGTCCAGACTGGCTACCGCGCTGCCGGCGGCGTCCTGTCTGTGCACTTCCTGGCCGCACGGGCTCAGACTGCGGACATTGACAGACATACAGACTATGTGTGGCCGCGCTGTCGACGGCCGTGTAGGTGCGTGGCATGAGCCACGCACCTACATGCTGTCGCCCATCTAACTAAGTGTCTCCAGACTGTGATCAGTCGAACCATGTGCATCCAGTCAACGGGCCATATTTCCAGACTGTGAACTTCTGGACTGCGTACGTGACGTCCAGGCTATGACAATTCAGACGGCTGCGTGCAGCCTCAGCCGGCGTTCCGTATCACTGCGCCTGTTCATGGCGTGCCCGCTTGACCTTTCGTGTCCCCGCCGCTGTAGGTGGTCATCTGCAGCTCGCTGGATGAGCTGCACGCCCACGTGTCGCCTGACCAGCTCACCGAGGATCTGGGCGGCACCGTCCCGTACGATCACGAGCAGTGGATCCAGCAGCGGCTGGTAGGTGGCACGCGTCCGGACCCGGCCTGGGCGGCACCATCCCGTACGATCACGAGCAGTGGATCCAGCAGCGGCTGGTAGGTGGCACGCGTCCGGACCCGGCTCCACGACCGCGACCGCGCTCGTGCAGAGCGGCACCGACGGGTACCCCTGTCCAGTTTTGGCCGCGTGTCCAGTCGCCACGGTGCGGCGATACGTGTCGTGGGATTATGTGCTTGAAGGGTGCGAAGCATTGCACTTTTGCACGCATGTCAACCGTCAGAGAGGATATGACTGATTGTTATCAGTTTGACTGATTGATCGTTGTGATATTGATGATTGTTATTGTTATTACTATAGTTTGAGCCTTCTGATTGTGCAGATTTCTGGGATCAGAGTCCACGCCAAGCAGCGCTTATTACGTGACCTCCGACCGCACCATACGGTCGTCGTATTCGGGTCATTGCAGAACTTTGTGGCGAATGTTTAACGTGCCACAATACTCCACGTGAAACCATCCTGCCCTTTGACGTCACCTGACCTTTAGCGCGGCCGCTGCCAACGGCCACAGGCTATTGCAGTCGGCGGCAAATAGCTGACGCTTTAAAGCGACTCCAACCTCCTGCCACGATTGGGTGAATTCTGAATAAAGGCACTCCTAACCAACTGAGCTGCGGTGACGGGCGATCTTACTCCAACGGTCCAGACGATCTCCTATGCCGGGGTCCTATTGCGGGCGAGAGGGACAGGCAGAGATGGCGCCCATCGCAAGCGCGGCACCTCGTGGGGCTGCGCTCCCTGTTCCTGCGCGGAACATATTTGGGCCATCGAGAGATGTTCTCTCTCAAAGCGGCGCGTACCAAAACCTGCCACCAATGGTGGTGAATCTGTATGGGGCGGGCCAGCCAGATCAGCCAGATCGGCGGATCAGCCAGCAGCGGATCAAGTGCGTGGCGGATCAGTGTGTGGCGATCAGCCAGCGACGGATCAGTGTGTGGCGGATCAGTGTGTGACGGATCAGCCAGCAGCGGATCAGTGTGTGGCGGATCAGCCAGAGACGGATCAGTGTGTGGCGGATCAGTGCGTGACGGATCAGCCAGTGGCGGATCAGTGTGTGGCGGATCAGCCAGCGGTGGACCAGTGTGTGGCGGATCAGTACGTGGCGAGCCAGTGTATGGCGGATCAGTGTGTGGCGGATCAGCGTATGGCGGATCAATGTGTGCGAACCAGTGTGTGGCGGATCAGTGCGTGACGGATCAGTGTGTACCGGATCAGTGTGTGGCGGATCAGCCAGCGGCGGATCAGTGTGTGGTGGATCAGCGTCAGACTGACCTGCCGTTGACCAGTCCGCGTCCGTCGCTGCCCGACTCTGCCGACCCGACTCAGGTATCGGCCCGTTTCAGGACCTGGAGAAGTTTTCACTGCGCTCCCAGGAGATCTCCACGGCGCTGGAGCAGTTCCTGTTGCGGCTGCAGCAGACAGAGTTCCCTCATGATGTCGGCACCACAGAAAACATGCTCAAGAGCCAGGTAAGCAGTGTATGCTGCTGCCTTGAAGTCCAAAATGT